CGGAAAGATGGAACAAAGCATTGGAGTATTTTCAAATACCTTTTGATAAGACAAACGCACAGGTGAAATGGGAGGAACTAGTAGTTTATTTTGTCATAAGGTAGTGATTATGCATGACACGAAGTATTGCTAGTCTAGTAGCTGAGAAATTAAGCCGTTTTGGACTGCGCATTGATAGCGGGCCTTTAAAGATTACGTGAATCAGTACATCTAAGTTACGTAAAAATGGGCTCGGCTGCTTATTAATCTATATTGTTCAACTCGTACCTAGTAGGAGCCGCCGATTATATATCAGACCGGTACATCATTCGTAATAACTCCTAACGGTCATTACCCACCTTCTTAGCCTAATTCCTAATTATGGCATACACTTAAACATATGGAAGAATTGTTGCAATGGTCACAGTAGAAATGTCCGAGTAAAGAGGTGCCAGATTTGGTTATGTGGCCGAACTAGCCGACTACAGTTGATCCACCCGAGTGTCATAGCCCGCTTCTGATGAACATTTTGGTTAGTTCTTCCCCTGAAATTCATTGTGTAAGAAGCGTAGAGATAGTAAATATTTGAATAGCCGAATTGGTATCAAACACATATTCGTAGAAGATAAAGGCACATCCCAGTAAATATTCCAATTTATCTGTATCATTAGTATTCTGATTCCATTTCGTGGATCACACTCATTGATTGTGTGTCTTTACTTTTAAGAACCTTTAAACATCCAGACTCTCCTTTTGGGACCAGGATATTCTGTTAAGCCTTCCTCCCTTTTAAAAGCGTGAAGCTTCTACCCCTCCAACTTGTCACAAGTGTTTGTCCAACAACAACAACCTCATATAAACTAACATGCATAGTTATAGGTTGGGCTGTCATCTTTCCAGCCTGGTCTTAGCTCTTCATCTATCCAGTATGGCAATGCGCCACTGCTAGGCTGGAAATCGATTCCGACGCGCCTTACAGCAGGCATATGAAGAGCCCACGATGCAACAGATGGAAAAAATGACAAGGAGAAGGTGATAAGTCATGCAATCCCACAGAGTACTAATTTAACATAAATTGCCTTATCAGAAACTTCTTACTCTATAACAAATAAAGGGAACCGCATGTGGCAGAAGTGTAAAATGTTCTAAAGAGCACTGTTCTGCAGGAAACAGGTTGTCACTCTTTTTCAGCCCAACTTATTTTGAGGCTCATCTGACATATCCAGAATGCAGCTTGTAGAATCGCATGATCGGCTCGTGCCGTGCGTGGTCGTCGCGTGCGTGCGTCCATCAATCAAAGTTGTAACAAAGTCTAAACGGCTCCGACGTACGGATTCGAAAGTGCGGGACGTGGGGGGTATCCCGAAACAAGAGTTTAGATGTTTGAAGCTGGGGGTCAAAGTCAAAGTCAAGGAAGGTGTAAATGAATGCGGGGAACTCATTTCTCTCCTTTACTGTTAAAGGTTATAGGCGGAAATGTATAATTGGCGGCACAAATCTAAACGGACTCGACTAGGCTGCGTGATAGTCGGTGTACAGGCATCATGGTAATGAAAATGCCATCACTGGTGGGCGAATATTGGAGGGTCACAGGTCAAAGTTTAAATGGGCACAGGGCAGATTTTAGACATTTCTGAGGAAATGGCTGATGGAAGGCGATTGAAATAATTTTTTGTTTCAGGGCGGTGGACCTAGCATTTTTATGGCTTTATTGAAGAGACCATGAAATTGTAATTTCTGCTACATGCGAAGAGTAAGTTCGTCGGAATAACGCTTTTGACGGCCTCAACGAGGCGGTTAAACATGGATTTCTTTTAGCTGTTAAAATAATTTGAGGCTGCCATGGTTTGCTAGTAGAAATCATACTAATGGCCTGGATGTATGAGGCTACAATGTCACACGTATAATTCAAAAGCTAAATTTGGGTGAAGGTTTTATGGCTCTTCAAATCGTATGAATTTCGGTATGCGGCATTTCTGTATCTGGTCAGTGTGTTACATGTAAGGGGGGGGGGGCGTAATGCCACTGGCCAGTGGCCACTGATGGCCATGCATGTGTGTGTGGTACTCGTGTAGTTTGCGCCTGCGTTATATTAGTTACAGGTGGCCAGCCTTATTTTAGCACTGTAGATCTGCGTAGGGTAAATGTAGGTGTGCTTACCTATCTGTCTTCAGAATAGTTTGTTAGCTACTACATACGCGATGTAGCTTCGTCCATCTTTATCTTGAGAGACACTTAAACGTACGCGCCATCTCGTGGGAACCTTCATAACGACCTCCCCAGGAATGAACATTCCCTTTGAGACAGGTTCCTGTAATACATCGCCTGGTCGGCTTCCACTAGTTCGGCGTGTATGTGAACACATTTGGGACTAGACAGGGTTTACTGAGAAATCCACCACTCCACCACGAGAGTCAACCGCGAGTAGACCCGTTAGATGAGCGCTGAGTCACGCTCCGCCGGGCGAGATTGTTGTTCGTATATACATATTATTGATATGCTTTATTATTTTATCTAGGCTGATGATGTTTTCCCTAGCGAAATTTTGGACTATTATGTCTTTTAACATTAATGTCTGGTCCCTGCGACAAATAGATTTAGCCTGTTTAGACCATTTTTAATAGCAGATTGTCACCAAGAATTCTCTTATGGAATTTGTGCTAAAAGTGTTTCAAATTCTGTTTCAGGAAGGCCTGTTTTAAGTACTTGGCAATGTGTAATCGTTTGGTCATGCAGTATTTTTGACAGAGGCTCAGAAATCGCAGGTATCACTATATAATATTACATTGTATAATCCTTTTATAAACATTTGGTCTCTTTGAACTAACGCTCGGACAACTTTCGGTTATGTGATCTGTTGTTGATTCTTTCAATTGTGTCGGCATTTTAATTGTAACTATATTTTTGAACCAAGGATCAGCGATATTGTAATTTAGTATATTAGCTATCTAAAGATGGTTTTAGTTTATTGTGATAGATTTTATGACAACATTTTTAAGGAGATTTATGTCTTTACCATGGAACATAAGTTAGTTGTAATATCTGATCATCATTTCAGTTTATACTGCCTGATGATAGCTTGTTTGCAAATTGTAGATTTTAATTGTAACGTTGTTGACACTAGTTTTGCAATAAACGACCTATTATCTATCATAATCTATCTATCTATTTAACATAAGGTATAAAAGGTGGGCATGCATAATTTTCGTAGTTGAACATTAGATCGCGAACGGATATGTGATATTAATGACAGATCATACTTAAGCGCCGGACCAAAAAATTACTTTGTTTTTCGGGGGTCCCCACGGCCGCCCGAACTTCACATTTCGGAGATGAAAAATAGTGGCGACTGGCGGTCGAGTTTTAGAGGTTAAAGGGAAAAATTAAAATCAAAGATACCCGCCGTGCGCGATGAATGTACATATTCAAATATCCGACTCTTGTCAGTTTTATTTACCCTAAAGAGAGTTCCAAAATAATTGTAACAACGTGAATACAGTCGTATAGAGCCTGGGCCGGCTACTTCATAAACAGAGCCTGAAGGTCATATGGCGCGGCGGCCGGCTATTTAGTATACGCATGCTATCGTGCTATACGCGGCCGCAGAGCCGTTTACACTTCGGTTACTCACTCGTTCAAAGGGACGATTAATTGAGCTCCGTTTTTGGAGCGATTCCTAACACTACTATCCAGGTGTTCACATTTTGCAACAATCGAAAAATATCAATTGTTTAGTATACTATCGGCGATAAATATCGTGTTTCACTTTACCATCGATGCATTGCCATCGGACAAAAAATATCGATAGTTATCGATAGTTCGATGCATCGTTACACCCCTAATAAAAATGTATTGAAATGAGATGCCCTACAGAAAGAAAATTTACTAATTTGAAAATGTCCATGTAGTACTATGTATGGATGTTCATCAAGAGCATACACAATATCCACAGAGTATTTTCAGATTTATAATTTTGTCTGTGTCCATGTATTTTATTCTTCCTGCTCTTCTGGATCTGCCAGTCCACAATTTTGGGGATCTAGTGTTTTTGGTTTGGCAGGTCTTGACAAACGAGTCTCGTCCTCTCCTTCCCAATCTCTGATTCCAGATGACACCAAGATGACACAATATCAGGTTGTGGGATTCAAATTGGCATTCCTGAATCTTCTGTCCTGAAGAAAGACTTTGTACAATGGTAGCCCTAATTTTTCCCAGACTAGGGACTGGGCTACCCTTTCCATTCCTTGTGAAGTTTACATTTTTTGTCTTCTGTCTTCTTTGGCTGTCACAAAAACAATGTCGTGACTTGCAGCAATGGTACATGCAACTGCAAGTCATTTGCATCTCGTGGCTCCTGCATTTCAAGCTGTATACCCTATATTTAACTTGTGAAAAAAAAACCTGCCTACCCATGTTTTTGCAGGAAAAAAAAAATGTTATACCTACCTACCTACCCTAATTTTCACAATCCATGTGACCCGAACCAAAGGTATTTTTTTGTTTGGCCTAAGTAGGAATGTGAATTTCATTTTAAATTTTAATTGTACAATATACAGTGACTATTCTTTTCCAATTTTGTTTTGTACACTTTGTATTACTACTGCCATGCAGTATGCACAGTGCCATAAACAGTTCAGTTCAGTTAATTGCAATTTGCTTTGTTGCTCTATAGTATTAGAAAGGATATAATATTAACGACACCCCTATACACATAGAGAACTCTGCTTTTGTGCTGTCTTTTTAATTTCAATCCATGAGTAGCTAGTCTTTTCCTGCTATGCCTCAGTTTTCTGTCGCCAGATGTTCTTGAGATGCCCTATTCTTCTCTTTGACAAGACTGTGACAAAATTTCTTCTAACATTTTCCTTTTTAGGGTGTGGACCATCCATCCCAGCCTATTCATTTGAATCTCTATGGTTGTCTGTTGTTGCCCTATTATCTCCTATAGTTTGGTTTGTGGCCTTGACAGGCCATCTGATGTGTAGGATTCTTATTTTAAGTTACTTGTGATGAAGGTACGTGCCCATGATTGTTATGTTCAGGCAAAATGCATGATGTGTAGTATTATACTCAATAGGATCAAAGGATGGGAGAGAGAAATTCTATATGGTGTGCCTACAGAGTGCTGGAAGAGCCCAAGCCTTAGCACAAGATGCAGGTATGTCAATTTCAACATATCACATTTATCTGTATAGGTATATAATTATATGGTGATGTATAACGTTTAATTTACTTCATATAGTATAAGACTATAAGCTGATTCTGAAAAACAACAACAATTTAACAGGTTTAAGGACACTAAGACTGCAGTGTCTGATTTAATGCGATATTCCATGTTTTATACATAGCATCAGGAGTCTATCAATAGATATTGATAGACCCCTGATAGCTTATATATCTTAAATGTTCTTTGCACTTTTTATAGGTTGGTCGGGAAGCAGTCAAGTTCCTAAGCAACAGTCAGTGCTAGGAAAAGAACATTCATCGACAGATTCAGTAAGACCAGCTCTAAGTCCGTCTCAGGGAAGAATAGCAAACCAGAATAAACCCATAGCAAATGAGAAGAGGCCAAGTGGATCCCAGTGTCTACAGTTTGTACCAAGTGCCAACATCTCCAGGTGAGTTTTTATAGGAATAGGCCTAAAAGATGAAATTGCAGGATAGGAGTAAAGTACAATCTTCATGAGCCCTGCATGATTACCATAGATTCTTTTTATCTACCTAATAGTAATAATGTAATGATCTAAATAACCAATATAGCAATTTTTATCATATTGATATTGTTTTTATCATATTCCTTATTCATTTAATTCATTATTTAATAATGGTAATTAATTAGCCTTTATGAATCACCTGCTTTGACTTATTATGAAAGTAGTATATTGCAGATGTATAGCTCGAGCATGTTGTAGTTTGTGAAAAGAATCATAAGATAGTGTAACTGATGCAGTAAAATAGGCCCAGAGAGGTAAATAGAAATATGAAAAATAATTTGACTGTTTTAATTTTTGTGCAACTTCCTATTTCTAGGGACCTATTGATCTTTATGGCACTTAGAGCTATGTCAACTTTTCGTACAGGTTAGAATTGGATCCATTAGAGAAAATGTCTAGGGAAAACCAAATGTTGATCACTGCCTACAGAACGCGAATTGCCAGAACTAAAGGGATTGCAAGCAAATATCAGCTGGTTAGTTGGTTGTAAAAAATATATAATTTCCTAGCCATGATGATATATATAGATACAGAAATGTGTGTGCATATATATATATATGCTCTATATATATGCTGCGATATGCTTGCACAAGTACAAAGTTTGGAACTATTATTGTGTACAGAATAGGGCTGTAACGATACACTCGCGTATTCGGTGCACCGAATATTGTTGTTGGACGATATGTATTCGTTATTCGAATACTGACGAATACAAATAATATAAATGGAACCTACTTGATAAAATCTATTTTAAACTGCAATTCTACGCCAATTTGCTCGAATTCTGAATGTCGTTTGCAGCTTTCCCTGTGAACGCACCTAGACTAGTACCCATCCCTTCTCACACGTCAAGAAGGCCGGGACGTATATTACTATCTTACTATCACGTGTAACTCACCCCATATCGAGCGTGTGAGAAGGTTGTTGAAGGCGTGCTAAAAGTTGTTTGTTAACGGACGAAAGTTGTCCAGAGGCACAGCGGAAAACACACACATGTGGACACACACACACACACACACGTCACACACACACACACGCACGCACGCACACACGCACACACACACACACACACACACACACACATGCGTGCGCGTGCTTACACGCAGACACACATAAGCATTTTCATGTGAGTCTGCTAAAATACATCTGCTAAAACACCCTAGGAGCCAGGGCATGATTGCGCGCCATTCTATCGTTAACATAAAGGATTTTTGTTCATTCATATATACTAGTATATATCTTTTATTCCTTGGTAGTTTTTACAGCTTCAACAAGTGAGTATTCATTTGAATATTATCATTTCATGTGAAATATTCGTATTCGCATGCATATATCGTGATACGTATCGTATTCGTGACCTAGTGTATTCGTTACAGCCCTAGTACAGAAAGAGAAATTTCCCACGAAAAAACAACTTCCTCCTTCTTTCGATTCAGAGTGTTTCCCTGCAGAGAAGGCTGTCTGAGAATATGGCCATTGCCAAGGCCAAGCAGGAGGAATTTCTACGAGCCAAACTTGAAAAAAGGGAAAAGTTGCAACAAGATGCACTGAGGTTAGTGTATTATATATATGTACATACATACATACGTTTTTATGTAAGCAGGGACACATGCAAGCACACATGCAGGCATGCACACAATGTATATACATCAGAAGTAGATAATAGGGAAGGAGTGTGACTTCAATAAACAAGGGAAATTCGTCATTTACTAGCCTTAGAATACCTACGATTTACTACGCGTAACTTGAGCTCAACCAACTTGAGCTCAAATCGTACACAGTACATTCGCCTAGCATCGTGCGAAATCGTTTCCTCGTATACACCCGCAATCCGGAGATACAGACTAAAACGTACGACGCGATTATCCATTCTGTTGCCATCAATCCGAATGTATTGTCCGCCTAACTTGAAACAATAGGCAGCTACTAACGACTCTCTCAGCGATGCGG